CTTGAATATCAATTAAGATTTGTTGAGGAAGACACGGAAATGAACTCATGAATCCATAAATCAATCTTGATGGAATGTATTATGCTTTCACCTACATCATCAACAATTAGGGCAAACACTCATTGTATTTATTAGTTAAAGGATAATAAATACAAAACATATATGGTCATAAAATACAAGTCAAGGTGCTTGGTGATTCCTCCTAGAGCAGAACTAAAGATAGGGAGAAAAACCAAACTCTAATGTGTGATCTTGTTGTGATTGAATTGATATGATATGATAAAGGGATCTTAGGGGCAAAAATTAGGGTACAACAGGCGACAACTTGGATATCCGATGAGGGATAGGCCAAATAGTATTAATTTGAGTGGTTTCTTCCTTAAAGAGGGAGAAGACCATAAGGAATCTATGGAGCAGATTGCGAAGGCTTGGTGTCATATTCACAAGAAGGGTAGGAAAGACTTGGGACCTAGGGGGTCGTTTCTTTGGAGCCTTATCTACAGTGGGTACAAGCAAGAGCAATCCAATTGAAGATGTTGTATTCCCATGAAACACCTAGGCCTGATATGTTTGTGAAAACCACTCCTCCCCTATTGGATGATGTGGAAGAGCTCCATCTTACTTTAGTCAGGATGCAACAAGAAAAGGAAGCTTGGAAGAATAAGTGTCATACTTTAGCGGTGTCTTACTGAGGAGACTTGAAGGAGAAAGACGACTTGATCGAGATTATTGACAGTCGTGCTGTAGAGACAATGGAGAGGCAAGAGGATTTATTTTCCTCTAAGCCTCAGTCATACCTTAGTTGCTCACTCCCCGACTCTGATGATTGGAAGTGAAGAATGGAAAACCACAAGAAGGGGGGTTTGAATTGGGGTTTTTAAAACTTAAAGAAAAGAACACGTTGGTTATCCTAGTTCGTTTGAATCCAAACTACTACAGCCCACCCGCCAAGGTGATTTCGCCTCTCTCAACAAGGTCTTAATCCACTAATAAAACTTGATTACAAATCTACTATGACAACCGTCAAAGTCTTCTTGAGTTTAAACCACAATCCGGTTTTCTCAAGGAAATTCACTAAACAATATATATGAGAGTGTACAAAAAGTGTTTTCTAATAAAAGAGTATCACACAAGTGATGTTTACACAATTTGAGATTTAGTACGTTTGAAGGTGATGAAGATGACTCGTTTTTTTTGTGCAAAATTGTTGACGATTTCTCCTTCAAGCTTTGTTTAAATAGGCAACGCATGCAGGGGATTTTGGAATGTTGATCAATGATAATTAAAGAGCTTTCCAAAATTAGAGATCACTGTCCCCTTTCAGCCGTTACTTTTGAATAGCAATAATTGAATTATAACGCTTCAGAACATGCTTGCTTCAGAATATGAAAGTTACCGTTGCTTCTTTCCAGAACTTTATGGATCAGAAACACGAAGTCTTGTTTGCAGCGGTAGAACTTCTTTAAGAGATGTAGAGAATCAAAGTTGAAACAACTATTTAACTCATCTTTTGTGCTTCTTCCATCAGAACTTCTATGCAAAACAAAATACAAGTTTAGGGAGCATAATTGTTCTTTGTGTTTGTTATCACCAAAACTCTTACAAGGGTTGTAGAATCAAACTATGTTCTAAAACTTGTTGTGCGAACGAATTTTCAAAATTTTCCTTTGTGTTGTTGTTGATATGAAAAAGCACTTATAGTCAAAATTCATTATAAGCTAATCGATAACCTATTTAAAACAAAAATAGTCACAAAAAAATTCTTACGAGTTGATCATTCAAGCAATGCTATTTGAAAAATTACTTAATGAAAGATAAAGCAAGTAAAGAGATAATATAGATATTGACACAAGGATTTGTTTACGCAATTCCTCACTTTCGTCCTCGCGTGTGGGTATGTCTGCACCCAATTCCAATTCAGAATTAGGATACTTTCTTACTATGCAAAAAGTATGATTAGAATAGAAGTGTTTCAAGAACAACCCTACAAACACAACCATTTGATGTTGATTCAATCCCTTCTCTTCCTTTGATCTTCAATAAGACAAAGATACAATAGCTAATAATTGATTATCTAGATCTTTCTACTCCTTTGCATACTTTATCTCCAAAGATTTCGTGCATCATCAATTGCATCTACTGCAACACAAGACTTCAATTTGATTCGTCGTTCTCACGCTACTTCCTTTGTGTTCTTTATCTCCAAAGGGTCCTTTCCATAAAATACTTTCACTTGGCTGCAATCCTCTCTTAAATGTCTTGTACGAAAACCCTCAAATCAATCAATGATCTTCGAGGACAAACCTACGGTTTTTCCGGATGAAGACCCCTACAAATATCAACCCATTATTCTCGGCTACACAAGAACCTAATTGGACGTTATCAAACCTCGTCTAGATGGCACCCAAAAAATATATTATTATGTGTGATTTGTTAGTGTGTTTACATAGGTTGGAGGTGAAGATCAATTGCAGGAAATTTTTATGGTATCATCAAGTTGAAATGATGCATGAATGATGTATTTATAGTTGTGGAAGTTTAGATGCAAAAAGGTGATTTTCGAAATTAAAAAGAATTGAAAATTTGACCCAATCAAACAGTATGTGTCGACCTGAAAATCTTATGTGTCGACACATAAGTCAAATGTTAACTGTATGTGTCGACCTGAAAAAATGGATGTGTCGACCTAAGTATTACAATAACTTTTAGCTTTAAAACTGCAGTACATGCGTCAACGTGAAATATGTATGTGTCGACATATAAAATAAGAATTTCTGCGATTTCTTAAAATCTTTAGTATGTGTCGACCTGAAATACGTATGCGTCAATACATGAAATAAAAATTTATGTAGAAACTTGTTTTCAAGACTTTGATCAGTTTCAAAATGGTTTTTAATGGTTTCTAAGACCCCTAATTCAAAGGAGTAGCACAAGACAAAGAGATATTGTCCAATACACATAAATGCTAAGTTTTCCTAGTTTTAACATCATTCAAAACATCTAATGGTGAAGTTGTACTCACAGTTCCTATGCAATCCCTCACAAGGGTGTTTCCTAAAGGTATCATGGATAACACGTAAGGACAAAGGCACAAGGGCCTCCCTTAAGTGGAGCCTCTACGTAGACCAAGACTTCTGTCTTGTAGATCATACAAAGTCTCACCATGAGAATTTTTTTAAGTAAGATTCTAAGAGTCACTGATTAAATCCAAAGTCTTATCTTCAAGAGAGGCTAACCCTCTAAAGATAATTCCTTGAACTCTATCCACACTGAGCGAAGTTGTCACAAAAACTCATAATAATAACCCCTTATTACTAAGGTTATTCTTGAAAATTCGCGTGTAGAACTTCCCACACAAATAATTCCCAAAATACCACAGGTACATATATAAAAAAGAAATGAAATAAAAATATATAAATATAAAAGAAATAAGTGAAATCATGAAAATAAAAAGCAAGTAAATAAAAATAGAAACACACAAAGCAAAATGGAAACCCTAAGACTAAAGGGTAGGTGAGACTCTCTTTAGGGATAGTCCCCAGTGAAGTCGCCAACTGTCACGGTTGGAAAAATTCAATGAGTCGCCACCATTATTTATTTATCCTAAGGACATGTAACCTAATGGAAAATCCTAATGGCATGATAAGACGGTCGTTGTAACCAAGTTAAGGGTACGAGAGTCGATTAAGCGAGGGGATGGTGTTAGGTACCCCTTACCTCCCTTGTACTCAAGGGGAACCTTCTCTAATCTTAGAGTTGCTAGGTGTGTTTACTCATTCTTGCTTTATCTGCTTTATTTATTCATTTATTAGGGGAAAATATATACAAAAGTTTAAAACATGGAAAAATTATTAGTGTAGTCGCCTTGATCTCGCAACCGTGTGCCTACGTATCTCTCATTGGAGGATGGGAGAAATCAAAGTCTTACGTAGTTCAGGATGTTTGGTTGGTGTTTTTTAGCTTTTGAAAGTGTGTTTGAATTTGAATTAATCTCACGGGGGCGAGAATAATTTATTGTTGCACAAAGCGAAAGAAATTTGATTATCGAAGAAGCGAGGTTTGATGGATTTGAATGAATTTTAGATGTGAATTTGAATAATTAATTAGTAGAAGTTAAACCCTTCAATAGATTATTCAAGGATGTGTATCCACCTATCATGTTATTTTAAAAAATATTAAAATTAGTATTGATTGTGAAAATAAGTTTGGAATTATGTATTGGATCAGTGATTTACAATTATTTAAATCATTTATAGATAGATATAAAGAGACTTGAATTCAATCGGAAGAAATCTAACAATTATGTACAAGGAAGTTTTTAATTATTTCTTCACAGTTCCTAATAGACTAAATTAAGTGATTAATCTAATGTAACAAATGGAAAAGCCTTCTTTGTCGATATTTTTGTAGAGTAAATATTTGATAAACTAAATAAACTAGATTAAAACTAAATAGATTAACTAAGTTAAAAATAAAAAAAGGCACAGAGGTGTAAATCATAAACAAAGAAGTAAGATATACAACAAGGCCCCAAGCCCAAACAGATTTCCAAACCTAATTCCTATAGTAAGAAAAAATGAAAATAGAGATACCTGGAAGAGATAGGGGTGCTCCTTTTATGAGTAACAACAAGGATCTTGATTTTTCCATAAACTAGAAGAGCCACTTAGCAAATGACACGTTGAAATAAAAAAAACCATGGGGAAGAGACCCCTCTGCGCCTCACAGTAGACGGTACTTCTTTTTTATAAAATTTCTTAACACAACATTAATAATTAATAGTTACTGTAATCACATTATTTTGAGTTTTCCAAAGAAACAAACAAGAACCAATCCTAAATAGACACATGGCATGTATATTAAAAATTAAAAGAAAAAGAAAATAACGGAACAAAACGTAGTATTTGTTGAACCAAACAATAGCTTAAAACAAGTATAAATAATATTGAAAAGCCAGAGGATAAATAAAGAGAGTGAATGAAGGAGAGCAGGGAAAGATAATGTTAATTTGTGGCCCGAGTTTATTGCCACACTTTGGATCCTCCTTGGCTTTCCTACGCGTTGGATGTTTTCAAAACTGTCCGAACAAGAACAAGAACAAGAACAAGTGGACGAGTATGAGTTGCAAATCCCAGAAAGACACACTCAGTAAAGTATGCCGCAATTACAGTCTGAGACTTGTTACCTTCCTCACAGCGGCTACAGTAATAGCTTCAATTGCAACAGCCGATGCAATTTATGAACAGGAAGAGACTCTATCAAACATACCTCAAACTCTATCCGGTGAGTGCATATCGGTCCAAGACTGTAAGAAAGCTAAAATACAGAAACCCAAGTCAAGGAAAGCCGAATCCTGCACAGTTAAGTGTGTTACTACTTGCATCAGAGGAGGCGAAGGCTCTCCTGGTGAAGGCCCTTTTAACGTTAGAAGGTACACAATATCAAACTATAAACTTCCAAATTCTTTCATGCCACGCCTTCATTCTTTTACCCATTCCTCTTCAACTTTTCAGACCACTCGTTGTTTTCAAGCAAGGTTTTCGAACTCGTCACTACTGGTAAATGCCTTCAACTCTTTTTTTTTTTTTTTAGTCAAATGCTTTCAACTTCTTGCAATAACAGTTTTTGATAAATGAAAGTAACATATCAATAACTTTCTAAGGAACTTGTTGATGGTATATTAACCTCAACTCGTATTGAAAAAATCTCAAGATTTTATATATATAGTGATGCTCCTACCTTACAAACCAATTTTGATAGAATGAATTAAATTGGACTCTAATTATAATACAACAAATGAATTTAAGATGAGTCATATCCTAAAAGGATTCTATGTTGATAGGTTTATAAATCAAATTATGGCACAAGAATCTACCTATTTATACTAGATGATACATTAGTTTTGCTTAGGGAAACCTAAGCAAAATTTAAAGACCGAAGAAGGACGCAAGTTGGAATGTAAAGATAACTTTTTGCAAAAGCTTGTTTAGGAAGATTAGGGACAACTAAATTAGTTTTGTTTAGATAAAGGTAGATTATAGCCTTATTCAATCACAAGATTGGTAAATAAAAGAATTTAGGTATGTGGAGAAATATAGAATGAGAGAGAAGTGTTAGAATCCTAAATCGTAAATCCTAAATCTTAAATCCATGTTGTAATAAAGTTGGATGGTAGATACCGGAGTTATGCTCTCGCTCTATCTCTCAATGAGAAAGAAAAAAGACGGAGTCTTATTGCTTCAGGGTTGACTCTATTTGTTTTCACTGTGTCTGTGTACTGCACAAACACGGATAGATAAAGATTTGGATCGTCCGTAGGACATCCTAAAAATTGGTTTTGTTGAACAACTTGCAAAAGCGAAGGCTTTAACTCGAAATTGTTTCGTGCGATAGCGGGAGCAGCAATACTGTTGTGGGGTTCCTCTTGCGATGGGACATCATAATCCTTCAGAGGACGATTTTGGGGTCCTTCAGCCATTTTGGGGTCAGGAAGAGAAAAGTTAGGAAGATTGGTTTCAGAAAGATTGTACTTGGCTTGATACTCTCTAATTCGGCGTCTTATACTAACAAAACGCTCGACTTCATCGATTGGTTGTTCTATATATATATATATATATATATATATATATATATATATATATATATATATATATATATATGGGATACAAAAATATCAATCCAAATAAGAGAAAAAGTAAAATGTCGGACATGTAACCGGTTACATAAAATCTGTAACTCAATACAATAACAAATAACAGAAAAGTAACTAACACTGGTAACCGGTTACTGCGAACGAGTAACCGGTTACAACAACTCTAAATACGCTTTTTCTTCGGCTTATTAACTTATTTTTTATGCATGTAAACGGTTATACTCCAGTGTTAACCGGTTACAACACTTGAAATACTCAAAATCTCTTAACAAACTACCTTATTTCAAGTGCTCCAAGTCTTTCATGCTCATGTCGATCTTCAACCTTTTGAACACATCATTTGTGACTCTCTTAGTCAACAAATCAACCACTTGGTCTTCACTTTTACAATATCTCAATCTCAACTTTTCTTCACTAATAAGTTCCCTCAAGTAGTGAAACCTCATCTCAATATGCTTGCTCCTCCCATGTGCAGTTGGATTCTTAGCAAGATTAATCGCGAAAACATTATCAACCAAGAGTGTAACAGCCTCACCCTCATTGTTGCCCAGCTCCTTCAATAGATTCATTAGCCACAAGGCTTCGCACGCACATAGCGAAGCGAAAATATACTCTTTCTCACAAGACGAGAGTGCGACTACCGGTTCCTTCTTAGAACACCGTGAGATTGGTGTTCCACCAAACATAAAAATGTATCCAGCTGTAGATTTTCGATCATCTTTATCTCTACATCAATTGGAATCAGTAAAACTGAGAAAATTACATTTTCTGCTCGTATCTGCTGCGGGAAAGAGAATTTTGTAGCCAATAGATCCTTTGACATATCTTAGGATCCTCTTGACTTTTGCCAAGTGAAACACCTTCTCTCTCTCTCCATGAATCTACTTGTAATACCGATACTAAACGCCAAATCCAGTCGTGTATTACACAAGTAACATAAGGATCCAATCAACCTTCTATATTGAGTTGGACTAATGTTCGGTTCCTTTTCATTCATTGACAGGTGTAGCCTTGGTTCAACTGGTGTAATGGCAGCTTTACAATGCTCCATTTCACACTTCTTCAATACCTCAAGAGCATATAACCTTGATGCATGAGTAGACCCTTTTTGAACTTGTGGAACTCAATGCCAATGAAGTATGTCATGATACGAAGGTCGATCATCTCGAATTCTCTCATAAGTTCACTCTTGAACTTAAAAATACTCTTCTCATCGCTGTCCGTAATAAATAAATTGTCTATGTATAGACAAAGAATGATCACCCCATCACTTGTATTTGTCTTCACATATACGTCGTGTTCGGATACACATTTCTTGAAGCCAATTTCAATTAGGAAACCATCTATCCTTTTGTTCCAAGCTCTCGGAGCTTGTTTAAACCATATAACATTTTTCTCAACTTGTAGAACCTTCCTTCTTGGTTTTTCACAACAAAGCCAATGGGTTGTTCTACATACACTTCTTCTTTAAGCGACTTGTTCAAAAACACATATTTTACATCTGTTTGATAAATGGATCAATTGTTTTTATTTGCAATACCAACAACTAGCCTTATGGTTTCAATTCTAACAATTGGTGCAAATACATCTTCAAAGTCTATGCCTTCTCTTTGCAAAAGTCCATTTGCAACTAATCGAGCCTTATTCTTGATTATTTCACCTTTGAGATTTGTTTTCACCTTATAGACTCATCTTACACCAATCAGTTTTTTTTCTTTCGGTGATCAACTAACTCCGAAGTATTATTTTTCTCAATCGATTCCAGATACTTTTTCATAGCACAAATCCACTTTGGATCACTCAATGCCTCTTTCGTCTTAATGGGCTCAGATTCGGTCTTAAGTGCAAAATGGACGAAATCTCCATCATCATTGACTTCATTGTCACAAAACATCTCATAATCCTGGAGTCTTGGAGGCAAATCTCTTTTCCTCCTTGATATTCTTACATTCTCATTAGTTTGGACTTCAACGTGCAACATTTCTGCACTTCCCAATTCTGCATAATCTGAAATTTTGAAGATGTAACCAGTTACAGCTTTCTGGTAACCGGTTACAGGCTACTGCAATTGCTTCAATTTGTCGACCACAATGTCTCGGTTGATCACAACCCTTCTGTTTGCAGCATCATACATCTTGTAACCTCTAGCAGAGTGATACCCTATTAGTATCATTATCACTCCCTTATCATCCAACTTCTTTCTAAGTTGTCCTGAAACATGTCGATACGCCACAAAACTGAAAGCTCTTAAATGGTTCAGATTCAGTTTGAATCTAGACCATGTCTCTTTCGGTGTTGTCTTCTCAAGCTTTTTTATTAGATACCTATTCAACTAATAGCCAATTGTGGATAGTTCTTCTCCCTATAACTCTTTTGACAAGTTCTTCCCTTTTAACATGCTTCTCACCATGTTCATAATCGACCAATTCTTCCTTTTGGCAACACCGTTTTTCTTCGGTCTATAGGGTGATACTACCTCATGTACTATCCTCTCTTCATCACAAAACTTCCCAAAGTCATTTGAGACATATTCGCCTCCATCATCCATTTTGAGAACTTTGAACTTATTAAACACTCTTAATACATTATCCTTTCTCTTGATTAGGTATGTCTTTAACTTTCTATTATAATCATCAATAAATGTGACAAAATATTTATTGCCACCAAACGAATCAACTTGCATCAGCCCACACACATCGAAATACACCACCTCAAGGTGATGCTTGATTATACAATCTGTATTCTTGCTGAATTTACCCTTGTGTTGCTTCGCTTGCACACACTCTTCACAAATTTCAATTGGTATATTGATAAATGGCAACCCGATTACCATTTTATTCTTTTGCAGTGTATTGAGATCTCAAAAATTGAGATGCCCAAGATGGTACTTCCATAACCACTCTTCTCGACTAGCCGACGTGGCAAGACACCTATGCTCCATAACCTTCCGCTCAACCTTGAAAGTTCTATTGGCAGCCATATGAGCTTTAAGGATTAAAACCCCGTTTGCATCCATAACGTGCAACGTCTTGTCTTCCATACAAATCTTGTAATCTTTCTCAAGCAATTGGCCAATACTTAAAAGGTTACATTTGATTCTCAGAATGTACAATACATCTTTGATCAAGGAATATCCACCATCCATCTTCATGATCAAAACATCTCGGGTACTATCGGTCGCTAAAGTGGTGTCATCCGCGAATTTCATTTTATTCCTCATTGCTTGATTGAATCCTTCATACCCGTATATGCGTAGAACAACTGGAATCTAAATATCATTCCTCGCTGTATTGGACTCCTTATCTCACGGTCACCATAACATTTTCTTCAGCATGTAACCGACTGTTGTCTTTACGTAATTCATTAAAACACGTTTTTAGAGCGTTCTCAGAACTGCTGATGTTGTTGTCCCGTAGCCTGGTGTTGTTGCATTCACCTTTCGTGATCATGACCAAGAGTGTGTTATCATAATCAAACTCTTGTCTTGCAACCATGACTCCATCTCCTTGAGATTCCTTCTTGTTTGCATTGCACTCTCTTGAAATATGACTGAACTTTTGACAATTAAAGCATTGCACCTTGCTCTTGTCAAACTTTCCCTTTTCACCTCTAAAGTTGCCTTGACCACGATTCTTGTTGCAGTTGTTCTCACCCTTTTGAAAAGTCGAACTCTTTAAATTTTGAGACTCTCTTCCACCAAAATCTGGAAAATTCTACTTACTCTTCATGGGCCATTTTTCCTTTCGACTTTTTGTTCTTCTCATTGAACCGAGCTTGCAAAGTGGTCTTCGCCTTTGCCTTGTCGTTATTTCTCTCCTCCACCCTTTACTCACGAGCCTCAAGAGAGCTTTGAAGCTCCTCTTTGCTCAACATCGCAAGATCCTTCGATTACTCAATCGCCACTACAATATTATCAAATCTTGTCGTCAAAGAACACAAGATTTTTGATACAACAATCTGCTCAGTAACAACTTCTCCACATGACTTTATTTGGTTCACCAATCACGTAATTCTCGTCACGTAATTGTTGATTGTCTCATTTTCCTCCATTTGAATCAATTAAAGTTGACGCTTGTGAGTTTGTAACCTCACCACCTTTGCCTTATCAGCCCCAACGCATGTCTTTTCCAACACGCTTGCTTTGACGACTCGCAATCACCAACTTTCTCAAAGTTGTCACCATCCATACATTAATGGATAAAAAACAGCGCTTTGTATCTTTCTTCTTCTCTTCTTTATGTGTTGTCGTTGTGCCTTCATTGCACCTTCGACTAAGGGATTCACTCCATCCTTGATCACTTCAAGAACAACTTGGTAGCCAAACAACACCTTCATTTGCTTGCATCATTTATTTGCATCATTTGTCGTAATTCTTCGCATAAAGGGTTGGTAGGTTCGTATGTATTCTTTTATTGGAGACAAAATTCATGTTGCGCATTAGGTGTTTGGTAGATCCGAACCAGGCTCTGATATCTAATGTTAGAACATTCAATCACAAAACTGATAACTAATGGAAGGTTTAGGTATGTGGAGAAAGAGTGTGTGTGTGTGTGTGTGAGAGAGAGAGAGAGAGAGAGAGGAGAGTTAGAGAGAGATACTTGAGGATGAGACTTTTCTATATTTTTCATCGTACATTACAAACATACATATAAGGTATATATACAAGTGAATTGGATACAAAAACATCAAGTCAAATAAGAGAAAAAGCAAAATATCGGACCTGTAGTCGGTTACATAAAACATGTAACCGGTTACAGCAACAAATAACAGAAAAGTAACTAACAGTGGTAACCGGTTACTGCGAATGCGTAACTGGTTACATCAACTCCAAAAACGTTTTTTCTTCAACATATTAATTTATTTTTTATGTTTGTAATTTGGTTACATCCCGTGGTAACCAATTACAACACTTAAAATACTCAAAATCTCTTAATCGCTCTACACTTAATTAAGCGTTTCATGCCAATTTCAAAGTTTATGGTTAATATGTTTCTTAATCAAACCAATCGAGATTTTATTTATTGTTTCAAATGGCCCATTTTCTTGAGCATAATAAGGTGTTGTAGCCAACAAGTTGATATTTATTGACTCAACATAATTTATCATTTTCTCACCATTGAACACAATTCATATATCTATCATTAGAGACTAAGGTATTCTTAAATGACAAATAAATTGATCTTTAAGAGGTATGTCACATCTTTCTGTTCCACCTATTTCAATTTGATAACTTTCACCCATTTTGAGAAATCATTCATAATATATGACCTTTCAAAGACGTGGTGGATTTGACCGAACATGTCTAGATTCCATTCTCAAAATGGACAAGGTTTGAAGATTGAGTGTAACTTATCTATTAGCAGATGCTCTACATTAGTGTTCTTTTTACACTTTCCCTTTAGAAAATTTAAATCAATCCTTATCCATAAATGGCCAAAATAGGTATTATTGCTTCAAAATCTATATTATTATTGTTGACCAAGTAACTCTAAATACAAGAGAGAATGGTGAATTGTGATATTTAAATTTTAAGGAAAATCAATTTATAAATGTGTTTTGATTTAAGTTCGTTTATGTTGGAGAATATATACGAGATAGTTGAATAACATAAGAGAGAAGAAGGCAGTGGATAATAAATAACAAAAAATAAAAAGATGAGAGATAGAAAGACTACACTAAAAAATTATATTGGTTCAGTATGACCACTTTTCATACTCTAGTTCACAAGAGTTTTCACGTGTGATTTCCACAAAAATCAACCTTGAATTTTTCATATGGTCAATCCAAAAACCTTACTGTAACAAATAGAGTTTTTATACATGTTTTACTCAAAAACCTTCACTCAAGCTTTTTTCAGGTTTAGTTTTCAACCTTTAAATTCAATACAAATATATTACAAGGGAACAACATCTTGAATAGACACTTTGTGCATGATACCAATACAACAACTCTAAGAAGGACTTTCACTCTCTTGACACTAAGACAACATTATAAAAGAAATAATAGAAGAAAATAATAGAGGAGTTTCTATTCATAAAATCAATGTGTTTTGAAATGAAGAGAAACCTCTTATATATAGGAAAAGATTTGGCTCAAAAAAGAAAAAAATCAAGGGCCATTTTCAAAATTTTCTTTTTGATTTTTAATTGATTAAAAATTGTTTTAATTGATTAGTCCAAACCAAATTTGAAAAGATTGATTTTTGATGTCACTTAATTGATTAATATCCTCTTTAATCGATTAAGATGTGTTACATATTGATTTAAATGATTAGAAGAAGCTCTTAATCAATTAACCAATGTGTGTTACCTTGTAGTTGATAAAACAAGCTTCTAATTAATTGAACACTTGTCTGGATTGATATTAAGAAATTTTATTAAAAGAGAAGAGATTTGAAAACAATTTTGTATATACATGTGCATTGCCTTAGTATCTCAAGACTTATTATTGTTTCTTTTACAATTAAATTGATCAGAATTAAGAAAAATCCTAAACACATAATCAAACGAGCTTTCACACTTTCACCTGCTTAGGGTCATGGCTTCAAGGTTTCATATCTTCATAGCTTTAATTCTTCAAGTCTATTTGTTTGATTCAACAATGTATAACATTTTTAATCAGAAGTTGGTATCCATGACTCATGAGACTTGGTATTTATTCATTGATTCACACCATCATTTGGAATCATTTGAAGAGTCACTATGATTAAATTCATTTGACAAATGTCATCAACAATTGACAGTTTTCATCACTACTCAACACTTTTCATCACATACTCCACATTTGTCATCACATACGCGACAATTGTCCTCATCAAAACCACATTTTTACATGTACAACATAACATAGAACTACAATTTTTTCTTCTCCTATATATTTTCCCAAAGTTCCATTTGATAATTAACTTCTTATATAATTCTAAATCAAGTATGGATTAAAATAGTGTCCAATATTTCAAATTTTTATTACAATGAACTAGGTTTTCTCAATTATTCTACGATATTCATTCTTCAATCCTTTAGTTTGACTTCACAAATGTTCATCCCTTTAAATTTTCATTTAGTGACATCTTTTGAAAGTTTGATAACTTTGTGAAAATGCTTCCTTAAGATTTTATATCCATACACATTTTGACTGAAATCATTTACTTAGAAATTCTTGATTCAAGGAATATATTCTCAAGTTACTTTATCAAATCTAGATAGAAATTTATCAACGTGTCGTAATATAGAAAATTTGAGCTTTCATATTTGTAATTTATGTTTTGACAATAAAATTTCTTATGTGCACCTTCACTCTTTTTTCTTGAATTAGAAACTCCGGCGATTGTAACATCATACACACCACAATATAATGGTTTGGTTGAGATAAGGAACATGACCATTATGAATATGGAAAGGTGTATGCTGAAAGAAAATAATATACAATATAATGTTTAGAGTGAAGAACTGTCTATAATATGATTGATATGTTCTGAATAGAAGACCCCCAAAGATATTAGACAACGTACTTGAAGAAATTTAATCAGATAAGACATGATCAGTCAATCACTTTAGAATTTTTGGATCTTTGTGTTTTAGGCACAACTTAAATTAAAGAAGAAAGAAGCTTGAAGATGAAAAGTAAATGTATGATCCTTATATGCTACCACACTATAGGATCATGTAAATTGTACAATCCACTCACAAAAAATATTATTACTAGAAGAGACATCTTAATCAATGAGAAGTAATGCTAGACATGGAAAAGGGAAGATGTTTCACCATCTTCATATGTATTGCTTGACTATTGTTATTGCACAATTTTGATCCCATGTACTTTTTCTGTGCAGTTTGGTGGAGTGTTCAGATATTTGTAATTTGATGAGCAATGCCGATGACATGCCTTGAATTTATACTTTTCTTATATGGGAAGCTATTGATATTAATAAACCTTGTATAATGTAAGTAAGCTTCACTTGTTTTATTTTTATACACCGTGATTTTTTGCACCGAATATTTTTTTATTTATTATTATTTAAATATAATTATATTCTTTCAAATTTCATTTTAGTTAATCACTTGTGTTTCTATTTAATTTTTTTTAAAATTAGAATAGAAAATATAAACTTTATAACTTTAAATTTTCAAATAACATATCAAATTGATAAACACAAATAATAATATATATATATATATATATATATATATATATATATATATATATATATATATATATATATATATATATATATATATATATATATTGATGCATACAATTATGAATTTAATTAATATAGATCGACAGTGTAAAGAAATTTTATACGATTAATTAATCGTGATCGTTAAATTTATACTGAAGTTTAATTTTTATTTTAATTATTTATAAATAATTATGATATATTGACCGTAATTTTTTGCACTAAATATTTTTTTATTATTATTTAAATATATTTATATTCTTTCAAATTCCATTTAATTAGTTAAGCACTTATGTTTCTGTTTAAATTTTTTAAAAATTAAAATAAAAAATATAAACTTTATAACTTTAAATTTTCAAATAACATATCAAATTGATAAACACAAATAATAATATATATTGATACATACAATTATGAATTTAATTAATATATACTGACACTCAATTAACCGTGACTGTTAAATTTATATTGAAGATTGACTTTTATTTTAATTATTTATAAAATAATATTTATAAATGATTGTAATGAATTGATTGTGTAAAAAAATTATATTGATAGTGTATAATAATTAATATCTACAATTATTTCTTAAAATATTTTTTACATTTTTTCTATCATTTATACATTTTTTATTTATAATATTACACATTTAACTAGAGATATATACTCTTTTACGAAATTCATTTTTCGATTTAAAGTCCATTTTTTTGTTATTTTATCATAAACACAAGAATAGATATGTCTCATATTTTAAATGAAAGTGGTATGCGAGTTTAAGAATAAGATTTTATAGGATAGGATATTTTCATATAATATATTTTTGTTTTAAAATGAATATTTTTTTAGTTTAATAGATATGTACTGTCAGTATAAAATAATTTTAAAAAATTATTATATTATTAAATTTTTTTAAAATAAAAATATAATATATTTTAATATATAATCGCGATTGATTAACTATATAAAATTAATTTTTATTATTAATACATTATCCATTTTTTTCATATTCTTTTAAATTCTACTTCTGGTAGTGAGATGAAAAAAAATAAGTAAAATGTAAATACAAATTGAGATATTTAGTTTAAATTTTGTGTCAATAACAAATTTTGCTTTTTGGGTGCGCTAAGGGCTTGGTAGCTATGTCATGAGAAAATTTGCAAACAATTTGCAATTTTTCTTTTGTAAAAGATATATTTTGAGTAAGAAAACATTTTGGGTTGTATTTTTTATTTATTTTTGTTTGTTTTGTGAATATGCATTTGCTTAGTTGAAACTTAATTTTGATTCCAACAAACATCAGAGTAAAAACTTCAATATAAAAAAAAAAAGACAAAATATTTTTTTCTGTTTTTTATCTATACTTAGAAGTTTTTTTTTTTTTAAAAGATTATTTGATCCTTCAATTATATATTACATTATCGTTTCATGTTAGTCCTTTCTATTAATATTGTTTGTCAATATGCCACATAATAACTAATATTTATTTAATAAATAAAATTTATTCAGAAAATAGTGTTGTCAGTGCCTGGATTTCATCAACTTCAATTTCTTTTTCCATCCATTATCTCTCTCTCTCTCTCTCTCAATAGGCAATTGAAAGCTTTAATGGTGGAAAGTTTTAGAGGCGTGACGAAGGAAGAGTGATAACAGCAGAGGCTCTGTGGTGGTATGAGTTCGTGCGCGCGGTGACTTGTCAGCTCTGTGGTGGTATTACTTTGTGCCTGCGGCGGCTGAAGATTCTCAAACAAGTTTATCATGACATTCGTATTTCAATCAAAGCTATGAGAATCATGAATTGGCTAAACACATTGTCTCTGAAGGAACCAAGGTGTTACCAAATTTAGCAGTTCTTAGATTTGATTTTTATGATTTTTCTTGTATCTCATATCTAAAATTTTCTTGAGTTATTGATGTAGATGTGTGGTGCCTTGAATAACATTAGTTTAAGCGCCTCAATTTAATAATCTGACATGTTATTCCAATTATGTGTTTTTCCATGAAAATATTCTTTCACATTCACATTTTTTTTCCAATTCTGTATCTTGAATAACAATTGGAATTTTTAGAAACGGATTGTTTTCACTTTCATTTTGGTTTATAATTTTGGTGGAAACATTCACATTTTCCATTATTATTTAGTTATTATTATTTAATTATTCAAATGATTGTTGGATTGCTTCAATCCACTGGATTACCATCCATTGTTAGACTGCAGATTGCAAAGTCACAAAGACACACCCAAAAAACTTAAAATAAAAAATCCAAAAAAAATATATGTCATATGGCACATAAGCAAAAATAAACTGCATTACTAACATTTTGACAGAAAGAACTAAATTGATTCATTTTGTAAAATTAAAGAATCAAAATAGTCTTTTTTTTATTTATTTTAATTAAAAGATCAAAATGAATACAAAGATATAGATAAGGAACGAAAAAGAGTATTTTAACAAAAAAGAAGGAAGAACATGCATTATGTATCATTCATTTAATTATTATTTTATCTGTGTGTGTTAAGAGGCTCACATTAGATAATATATGACCTGGACATGGATATATATATATATATATATATATATATATATATATATATATATATATATATATATATATATATATATATATATATATATATATATATATATATATATATATATATATATATATATATATATATATAAATAAAAGAAATTTTCACCAAACAAGCAGATTTTATAGGGTTAAGTTAGACTTAAACTGGACCATATTTCTTATCATGTTATCAAGAGCATGTTTTAAGATCCAGTAAATCACATGCTATTAGGTTTCCACTATCAAGTCATCCACCATTTATTTTCACATTTCAGAAGTCTAATCTTAGACGTAAGTGTGTGTGTTAAGAGTCTCACATCAGATAATATATGATTTAAATATGTATATATAAATGGAGGACAATCTTCACCTTACAACCGATTTTATAGTGTTGAATTAATCTCAACCACATTTGTTAACGCATATGCACATTTTCAGATATTGTTAATATGTATGGCTACTTTGAAATTGAATGGATGTTCCTTTGGTTGAGAGACAAAGAATTTTTCCTTATGACAATGCAAAAATTCAAAGCACATGGAAGATTTGCATAGCGGCAATTTTTTTTATAGAATACTCTTTCTACATATGTGATTAGTAATGAATCATGATAATTATCTTACACTATTTGAACTGAAGTTGAGGATAAATTATAGAAATGTGAGACCATTAAAATTCCATATTAAATATTAAGAAAGAAAAAAGGTGGCGTTTAGCCTAGTTAAAAAATTTTTTGACCACCATGGGCAAGTTGACATTTTTATCTGTAATAGCAGGTTATGATCTGCTATCAATAATTTTTTTTTGTTAGCCATTATTTTAATATGTTTTTTTATTGCTACTCTTGTTACACCTCTTTTCAATATGAATCCCCATCTCAAATAATCATATTATTTAACTTATCTCTCCAATGTGAAACTTACAGTAACAAGTAAAAAACATGTGTTTCTCCATTGTCCTCCAAACCTATCGGTTAATCCAGGTTGAAGAACTTTAGACATTCAGAAAAGGAAACATTGAAGTTGAAAATTTGAACAAAGGTATTTGATGTTCGTGAATATAATTTTTCTTTTAAGAATCGTATTTTCGTTTAAGAATCCTTTCGTTTTCTATAAGCATGATTTTGAACGAGGCTTTATTGAAGATTGAAGATTTATGTTTGCATGTTTGCTATAGTTATCATTAATTGTGGTAATGTAATGTTTATCGTGTACTGAAAATGTATATTTTATGACTTAGGTTTGGCTAGTCTGGCAAGATATTAGTTTGTGTTTATTTCACATAACTACAACAATGATTTTCTACCAGCCTTTAGATCAAGTTGATTGATTTTGTTTAACTATGTTTGTGCGTTTTGTTCATTTTGAATAGGTTTTTTGAATGGATATAGATCAAATATTATCAATTTTTCAAGTATCCCACAATAATGAAAGTCATGGCAGTTCGACTGAGGTACGTAGCGTTAGTTAAATGGTGGATTCTACAGATTTATAGCTAATATTATGCATGAAAGAAAATTGCGATCAAAAGCGCAACGGAATTTAAAATTTTCCTTTAGCGATCCTTACGAATGAACATGGTCAGTGATAGAAATATTTACCTCTTGTGGCGATTCAGACCTTTGATGTTGTGATCACGAGCGTTGATGAAGAACAACGCCTCTACTCAGTCCACACGAACAGATCGCTTCCGGTCACAGTGCTAGCTGATCACGAACGGAAACCTTGAGTGAGAGAGAGAATCAAAAAACGAAATTGCATCAAGTGAAATTGCTTCATCACAAGGGATCTATTTATAGAATCACTCGTGTGGGCTACAAGCTAAAAGCCCAATTAAGGCTATAAGCTAAAAGCCCAATTAAGCTTATGGACATCATACCTTATGATGTACCATATATCACTTATCCACGTGGTACCTTACCACTTTCCGTATTACACTTAAGTGCACCGTACCTTACGGTGTTCCTTATTTATTCTATCTCTCATCAACCTGTCCTTATGTGTGTGACCCTGTAGGTTTTCGCGACGTTGGCAATTATATTAAATCACACATTTAATATAATAAACAGTGAGCGGTATCTAGCAACACATCATTGTTACCCAAGTCACGAAAATGTCATGTGATCTGACCAAACCTTTTCCGTGATAATATTTGTGTTGTACAATTACCCTTTTGCCCTCATGTCTATATTGAACACAAGACATACACTGTGTCATCCTTGTCCAGTTCAATATTGGGCCCTTAGACATTTATCCTATTATGCAGGATGAGCAAATTCCATCTAGGTCACTCATGTCCCTTAGCATGCTTTGTGAAGTACCCATCAACCGTCTTTATAGTCATCCAGTTACGGATGACGTTTGATCAGCAATAAAGTACTTGAATCTACATCTAGGGTCCATAGTGGTTTCAGGACGAAGGGTGGTATACACCATTATCATCATGAGAATAACTTATGACACTTTGCATAACATTCTATGTAGTATTCTCATAGCGGGTCAATCCAGTATAAATATTACTCCTAATATTCATACCTATGTCAAGACTTGATAACTCCTTATCTATGATCCATGAGATGTGATCATCAATCTATTTTCATAATAATCTTAATGCTTTAATGTTATCCCACTTCACATTAAAGCTTTACTACGAATACTTTAAGAATAGTGTCTTATGTTTAATGGGATCTCATGATTAAGTCACACTTAACATTTCATTAAACAAATAAACCATTCTAGGGACTTTATTATTTTGGAAAGCAAACATAATAAAGAAATGCCTTTTATTATTAATAAATAATTCGATACAAGTACCAAAAGTATTGGCCTCTAGGGCTTACACCAACAATCTCCCACTAGCACTAGAGCCAATCAGGCATACCCCTAATACCCATAGATCTAGTATGTCCATCATGCTTCAGCTGCACAAGAGGCTTTGTTAATGGGTCAACAACATTGTCAAGTGTAGGTACTATGCATATTTTCACATCTCCCCGATCGATTATCTCTCGAATGAGATGATAACGCCTAAGTATGTGTTTGGATCGTTGGTGAGATCTAGGCTCCTTAGCTTGTGCGATAGCACCATTGTTATCACAATAGAGATCAATGGAATCCACAATGTTATGGACTATGCCAAGGTCACTAATGAACTTCTTGATCCAAACAGCTTCCTTTGCTGCAGTTTAGGCAACAATATACTCAGCCTCGGTTGTAGAATCAACAACTGTATCTTGCTTTGAACTTTTCCAGCTCACAGCGCCACCATTTAAACAAAACACATAACCAGATTGCGATCTAAAGTCATCCTTATCTGTCTGGAAGCTAGCATCGGTGTATCCAATTACAACAAGCTCTTCCTGACCTCCATATATCAAGAATGAGTCCTTAGTCCTTCTCAAGTACTTAAGGATATTCTTGACAGCTACCCAATGAGCATCACCGGGATTAGACTGGTACCTACTCGTTGCACTTAAAGAATACGAGACATCTGGTCGAGTACATAGTGTGATCGGTGGATCTGGAACTGACTGTTTAAAGCTGGTTCGCGAAATGTCGCGGAAGCAAGAGTCGCCACCGTCTTTTATTTTCTCCAAATGGAAAGGACAAAAGCATAGAAAAATTCCTTATAGAGATTGCTCTCGGTTCGGGAGGTAGGTTATAGAAAGGGAAGGTATTAGCACCCTTTCTATCCATGGTTATCCATGGGCTCTTAGATACTTGCTCATTTGTGTTTTCAAAAATTTGTTTGCTTTTCAAGTGTGTGTGGGTTTTGAAAAAAAGTTCGTTTGAAAACTTCTAGGTAACTCTTGTATCAGTCCTCAAGAGTGTATGAAGTATTGTTTGAAAACTTTTTGAAAGTGTAAGGTGTGAAAAGTATTTTGTTTTGAAATTTAGAGCAAGTATCTACGAGAACCTACCTACCCTAAGGAATTCGTCTGTGTAAATGTCCTTAAAGTAGTGCCATCCCACCATTGAGAGGTAGGTAGCACCACCGTTGGAGGTGTTCGGGTCAATTCGAGGTTCGGGACATGGTGATCACCAGAGCAATGGGAAGACACCTTAGAAGCTACC